ATCTACAATTTATTARTCCTACAAAGGAGGTGCCATCACGTAGGACGTAAAACGTACAACGAACAACTATAGCGATATAGCTTTTACTTTTAATCCCTAAACGATACCAATTCATAAAAGATACAGCATCCGATCACCGATGTCGTTTTTCCACCAGGTCTCCTCCGAATACCGGTCGTTTCGATCCAAAGACGTTTCGATCCRAGTTGTTTYGATCCATTTTTAGGACGTTTCGATCCAYTGTTAGGACGTTTCGATCCACTTATATAACAACCCAAAATACATAAGTATCACTACAACCCCACCCCATTAAGTTTGTTCTTGTATTCTTGTTGTAAATACTTTTGTATTTCGAGACACAAATGTTTGTATACCTTAATTGAAACACAGGGGAGGATATAATGAAGCACTACTTTTACCTTGGGTTTGAGTACAGTGAAATTGCTTCATTCCTGCATATTCATCACGGACTTACAATAAGGTAATCATTGTTGATGACACATGTTGAAAATCTTTTCACCCCATGTAAGGGAATCAGGATTCCAGAAGCCACTAAATTTCAGGCTTTGGANTTATTCCCTCATTTTTGCAGACAATTACTAAAAATATAATGATTTTGGTCATTTTCGTCGGTTTGGTACTAAAAATATAATGGTTTTCGTCTGTTTGGTAGCCATTTTGTCGGCTTTCGCACTAATCTCGTCAAAAACTTACATGTTAAGACTTAAATAAATTCACTTTGACTGTAGTTTTCGTTGTCTCTCATTTTGCAAATAAAAAATTTTCAAACATTTATTTTTTTCGTAAACGAACTAAAAGGATATCTTTRTTTTGCAATGCGTTTCAAATTGTGTTTTTTCTTCGTCTTACTCAAAGTCAAAGCTGGTCTAATCGCGAAAAATATTGACCGYTGTGAGCGGGCATTACAGGAAAATACCGACCGGTCATTATCTGTCAAYAGCCAATCAGAGCGCGCGTACTATCTAAGCCATATAATAAATGTGTTATAATGATATCCTTGGCTCATTAGCGCTTTACAATGATATTCATACTTTTTGAATTTGAAAACTATCCTTTGCGTTTTAATCACTGATAATCAAGTGCTATCAAAAGGCCTTTAAAAACTTTTTCTATTTTTTCTATATTTAAGACTGAATTTCTGGGAAGTGGCAATTGTCTGGGCTATAGACAGATGCACCAAAGACTGGTGAATGACCATCATATCAATGTAGATAGGTATGTCATAATTCACGTTCGTTACTATAGTGGGTCTGTTATTGGGCCAAGTGTATTTGCAAACTGTAACAAGATAATGTAGTAAACGTTTGAGACACAAAAAGAAATGCAACTGTTGTGTTGAGTATCCTGATTTCGATTGCAATTCATTACTTAGAGAAACAGTTCGACTTTCTTTGCGCGTACTCGATCCGTCAGGAGTTTCGAGGAGACAGAGCCACCGAATGATAAGGAGAAAGTACAGGTCTAAGGTAATTGGATCTTTAAGGAGTGAAATACAAAATAATTGACTGTTAATGATACTTATTTTTTTCGTTTTATCTATTTATTTAAGGGGGCCAATTACGCATGGCACATCGATGGCTACGATAAATTAAAGCCATTTGGCTTCTGTGTTCATGGATGTATTGACGGGTAATGAAGAATGTCGCTTTATACAAAAAAATTCAAATTACAATACATTGAATTACTTTTTATTACAGTTACTCAAGACGAATAATGTGGCTCAAGGTTGCGTCGACCAATAATAATCCAGCAGTTGTTTCACAATATTATCTAGATTGCATAAAAACTTAAAAAGGTGTGTAAGCATTGAAATATCGTCGATGTAATATACATCTGTTAATAGTAATCATTTATTACCATGTAGCCGTTCCAAGGCTAGTACGGGCGGACCATGGAACCGAAAATGTGAACATTGAAGTACTACAGCAATATTTTCATGATGACAACGGAGAAAGTKTTAGATATGGGAAGTCGGTGGCGAATCAAGTAAGTCTCTGAGGCACCTAGCGAATCAACCTATTACTTGCTATTATCCCGCAGTGAAGGTCAAAATTCGGGTACTGGGGCGAATAGGTGAGGTGCATATGAAAATAATTTTGAGGATATCTCTTATACTTTACCCAGTGAATGTGTCTTTCTGAATAATTATCTCACATCCTTTTCTGAAATTCATCATGAGGATCTCTCTAAACATAGTTTTCCTTTGGTGTCAAAATCATGTGAGCTTGACCCTGTTCCTGGCAAATTTTTAAAACTGGTTGCAAGCCTTTTGTCGCCCGTCATTTGTAAGATTGTCAATCTTTCTTTGAAAAATGCGTCMATGCCTTCGATTCTAAAACATTCTGTGATTAAGCCTCTCCTTAAAAAGCAGAATTTAACCACTGAAGAATTTTCTAGTTTTCGACCTATCTCTAACTTAAAGTTCTTGTCAAAGRCTATTGAAAAAGTTGTCTCACACCAGCTGATCGACCATCTTTAGAGAAATAATATCAATGTACCATTGCAATCTGCTTATAAGAAAAACCACAGCGTGGAAACTRCTCTTCTAAAAGTGCAAAACGATATCTTGCGTGACATTGATATGAACAAATCAGTTTTTCTTGTCCTTCTAGACCTTTCTGCTGCCTTTGACACTGTAAACCATGATATTCTCTTAAATCGCCTATATACATCTTTTGGAGTTAGAGACTTAGCTCTTAAATATATGGTTCAAATCCTATCTTAGTGATAGGCAATTTTATGTCAGTGTCCCGGAAGGCAAATCTTTTTCTCGTTGTTTTGATTGTGGTGTTCCTCAGGGATCAATTCTAGGACCTATCTTATTTTCATTATATATTTCACCAATTGCAGATATTATTCATCGGCATGAGCTTGGCTATCACCTATATGCAGATACACAATTATATATTTCTTTCTCTACAACGTCCTTATGTGAGATGGTGACAGCAAAATCCAAGGTTGAGGGCTGTGTCAAAGATATTGATTTATGGATGGTTACAAACAAGCTAAAACTTAACGGTGATAAAACTGAACTAGTGGTACTTTCAGCTGCACATCGCCCTTTCTCATCGGAAGTGTCGCTTAATATTCTTGGCTTTGACATTTTATCATCTTCCTCGGCACGAAATATTKGGGTCATTTTTGACAAAACGCTTTCTTTAGAATCCCATATAACAGCAGTATACAAATCATGCTTTTTCCACATTCACAATATGTGGAAAATACGCAAATGGCTTAGTGTCAATGCATGTGAAACACTTGTAYATGCATTTATCTCTTCAAAACTAGATTTCTGTAATTCTTTGCTCTACGGTCTTCCTAAGTCTTCTATTAATAAGTTACAACGTGTGCAAAATGCGGCAGCAAGACTAATTTCTTTTTCTCGCAAACGCGATCATATCACGCCTATTCTTTASAACTTGCATTGGCTGCCTGTAGATCAACGCATTGAATATAAAATTCTTTTAATTACTTTTAAGATTCTTAATGGAATTTCTCCTTCTTATCTTTCTGATCTTATTCAGCCTTATAAACCCTCACGTTCTTTAAGATCTTCATCAGCTAACCTCTTGGTCAAACCATCTTTTAACCTTAAATTCTATGGCAGAAGATCTTTCTCTTTTGCTGCTCCTGAGTTATGGAACTCTATTCCTGAGAATGTCCGTGAAGCAAAATCAATTTGTATTTTTAAAAAAGAAATTAAAACTTGGCCTTTTAAGAAAGCATTTTCAATTAAATAATTTTTGAAGTTTTATGATAAAATCATTATTATTGTATTTGTGTATTATGCAAAAAAAAAGTATATATTCATAATTAAACAGTGTACCTATTTAAATTCTTTTTCAAATAAACATGTTTTTATATATCTTTTTTTATATCTTTATATCTTTTTTCATAAATTTTTATAATAGTATTGAATTTTTCTATATTCAATTTTGTAAAGCGCATCAGAACCTGGTGGATATTTTGCGCTATATAAATACTATTTATTATAATTATTATTATATGGAGGGTATATGTGAATCCCCCTTGGTCAGCCAAAATATATKTCATTAACATAATAATAATAATAACAATGAGATTTATTTCAACACGGTAGGTTCTTCAGGTACAATACAAATTAAAAAGAGGAAGAGTTAATTAAATACATACTAAACTAAGTTAAACTAAACTATACTAAATTTTAATTAGCAATTTTTATTTTTACTCTCATCATACTTAAAAGTTATAAGTTCAATTTTAACCATCTATTTAACATAAACAAATAACGGTATACGGTATCGAGGCATTTCATTGTTACTTACAACCACAAGCTATCAAGGTTGCAACAGTTGAAATACCGCATTTATTCTTGCAAACTTTATTTTAAATTTGTCTGGAAAATTGCGAACATGAAACCAATCTTTTCTGATTGGATTATCCCTGACATAAACATTAAACTACACCCAATGGGCAGTAATCCATGAACGTATCATGCCAAATTTGAATTACCAATACCGGTTACAAATTTAAAATCGATTTCGCAAGAATATATACATTTGAACGGATTGAACATCAGTTACGGCAAAAGGCGGTTTAAAAATATTAAACAAAGAGAGATAGAGATAACTACACAGCATAGGTTATTCTCTTTAGACAGCAGAGTAAACTGCCTATTTCAACAACGTAGCTTATATAATATAACAAACTGAATAATAATTGATATGGCATTAACACTAGGAAAATGCACTGTTCTATACACAAAAATTCCAAACGTTTAGTCATAAGCAATGAATATCTTTTAAACATGAAAAATATCAACCATATTATACCTATAATTTACCATACATAAGTATAATGTCCTTTTTATCTGAAGAAAAAAAAATTGAAATCATGTTATTTTGATATCTTTTTAAATTTCATAAAGTGAAAAAATAGTGTACACATACCTCTGAACCACGGATTAATCAGACATTCCCCAAGATTCTGGGTTAGACAGATTAGCTTTCAAATCTTGGAAGGTCAGATAAGTAGAAGGCAGTGTTAAGATGCAAAAGCAGGTCTGTGCTTTTGGACGTTGCTCCAAACTTGACTTTAAACTGAACTTTGATTCTTCTGTCCGGCACTAACAAATCAGTCCCTGTGCAAAACCAAAGGAACCTCTTTAACTCTTTCTCGTTGGATTCTTTGAGGTATAACCTTAACCAGCGTGTTACTTTGTCTTCTTTCTTGCTCTGAGGTTTAACCATAATTGCATCGATAACTTTATTTGGTGTGGGTCTGCAGGTATCATGAATAGCATCTATTTCATGGGTGGTGACGGTGCTCCAAAATACCCCCATACCTGAACAAAATAAAGACCATTCATTAAGTATTGCAAACAGGACTTTTTAACTCTTAAACACATTCAGTCCATTAACCTACCTTGTCGCAATGAGTTTAAGCAAAGGAATGGCTTTGTGACAAATTCCATAGTACCGATTTCAAGTAGAATATCACTGATGTTTTCACGGTTGGGAAGCCTCGTAATTTGGAAATCGTCCAAAATGTCGCAAAGATCGTCGAACGGGAATTCAACGGTGTCCTTTTGCAACACTTTGACCACCAGCTCTTTTTGCTTTTGTGGCAAACATTCCGTGAATGATTTTAGAATGCTTTCCTTGTTAACATCTCCAAAGAGTACTTGCTGCATTGAAGCACTTGCAAGTCTTGTAGGGAAGAAGCCTGTTAAGACATAACCATGGTGCAAAATTCTTCCCAAACATTTGTATTTCTCTGGATCGGGGCCAATGGGAAGAGGTACTTGGTTAGTATCTCCACCCAGAAATTTTTCCCAGAAAAGGGAAAAAAGTTCTCGGATGACACCATCCCCGACCACAATTTCGTCCGGTGAATGACAGTTAAAGTCAACTCTTAAGTCATTGTTAACGAGCGTTTCATCTGTGTAAATTTCTAGCAGATGTTTGATGGTGTTATCTTTATCAACTTTAATTGTTACCTTTGGATCAAGGTTTAATAAAGCTATTTTACGCTTGTCATTTAGACTGTTGAAATGGCTTATTGTCTCAGAAGGAGAATCTTCTTCCATCAATACACTTGGTACATCCACTGTCACAAGAGTGTCATCCAAATCACCTATAACAATACCAACAGGAAAATTAAACAACAAAAATTTAACAAATTATTGTATTGTTCAAGACTATTACTGGTTTGACTCTTAAACAAAAAAATTACTGATTAATTTTTTAAGTACTGTTTTTTAATTGTGGTTTTAAACTTGATAAAATACTGAATAAAAAATAATTTCAATATTGATACCATTTACCATTTTTGTAAGGCTTTGAAATTTTTATGACAACATCTTCAACTGATAGCGCGCGCAAATCTGAAACTCTGTATCATTTTCTTACGATTTTTCCTTCATGTTCGAAAAGTGTGATGTCAGGTGAATACGACTGAACAATAGGAAAGGGTTACAATAGATTTCCAAAATATTTACCTGATGATGAGCCTTTATTGTTATCAATGCTTACATCATTTTCACAGTGAGAAAGGGGTACAGGTGTGTCTCGCTCTTCAGTCACACATACTGTTGATCCATAATGCTCTATCTTTTCATCAGGATATATCAGCTTCACTGGAAATGATGACATCAAACTGAAGAACTTTGGTTTTAGGCTTAGGGATCCAACCCAGTCATATGCTGCCTTCATAGTGGAAGATGGTTTGAAGATTCTTGATATAAATCCAAGGGTTGGGTGTCTCACTCGAATTGTAMACCCAATGTCTGGAACAGGGAGAACTCTGTTCTGTCTCTTTTCTTGTAAACTTCGAAGCTCCTCTTGATCTTGTTGAACTTTTAGTTTGTCTGCTTCTCTTTTTTGGTCAGCTTTAAGAGATTCTTCATACTCTTTTTGCATGTCATCCATTAGCGTTTTCCTTTCTTGGGATATTCCGATAAGGTTAGTAGATTCATTTTCTTCATAAGAACTCTCATCGCTTTCTACTGTGATAGGGCTTGGAAGGGGGCTTTCCTTTCCCAACATTTGATGCAGACTCTGACTTTAATGAGGTTGCGCTTGATGTCTTAAAGGACTGACTAGCAGGCTTGAATAAAAACACAGAATCCAAATAAAGGTCATCATCTTCATACATGGCATCAATATCTCGATCACCATCCTCACTAGAAGAAAAGATAACAATTACAGTGTGATTAGTTATAGGTTGTATGATTGCAACATATGTTTTCAAAGTGTCTACTGATAACTTCCAAGATCATGGGTACATAATACTTTTCCAAGTCATTGTTTCCAAATGAAATAGATTATTTTAGATTCTATATTTTAGATTAGTATCACACTCCCTTTTGTGTCAATATAACAATGTAAATAGYAATAGACACATATATATAAACTAGATAGGATTGTTCTTTATTAAAAAAAGTACTGTCTGTCTCTGATGAGTGCATAAGCACACAATTCAGAGATATTCATCAGAATCGATTAACTTGGCCTTATCCCTTTATCCCCCAAAAGGTTATCTTAAAAAATGGAACTTTCACTCGTAAACTATAATGGAGATGTATTGGAAGATGAAATTTTTGACTCTAATCTAGGGAAGCTCGTGAAGTTCAACGCTGAAAATTACAAAAGCATCACAAGTGATACAAGACCGCGACTCTATCTATTGAGTCGTAAAATTGAAAAAAGGTATAGCATGACCCATTTTAAGCAATAGAAAACTTTTTTTGTGCCTACGTAGCTTGATAAAAAAACACTAGAGCAGGTTGGGAGAATTCGAAACCGTGTTGCAATAATCTGAGACAARGCTATTCTATTGCTTACAGCGCAAAGCTCAAAAGTATGAACACTGGTAATAATATTATTAATTTGCAGTATTTTGCATCGGGAATTATCCAATCAGTGTTTTAGGATGATGGAACCATGTGGCCTGAAGGAGTGGTTACTAWGTTACGTAGCAAAATCTTAACCACCCCCCTCCCCAGAGATACGTTTTTGTTTTTGGCGGAGTTGGTACGCGGTTAAGAACTGAACATTGAAGTTGGAAACTCAACACTGAACTTCGAACTTCCACAGACAACTGACCATGTAAATATACAAATATACAGAAAAACATTAATTTGAATAGAAATGTGTTCAAGCAGTTCTGGATTTGAATGTTGATCTCGACATAATTTATTTGAATTGCGAAGTTGAATGTTGAGCTTTGGAAAGTCAAATGTTGGTATTTCAAATAAAATGTTAACCATTGCCAAGTTGAATGTTGATTTTCCATGAAACGAATACTGATTTCCAACTTCAAAGCTTGAACTTTGCAAAGTCAAATGTTGAAATGCGAAGTTGATGTCGGAATGTAAAGTCGAATGTTGCGCTTTGAATATTGATTTTTGGTGGGGATTGTACCCCATAAAAATGAAGRAYAAATGCCACTACAATCACTGTTATCTACCATCTTGCTGGGATTATTCACTGTAAATAAGAAAAGAACAAAATTAATTTAAACTCTAAATTAAACAGCATGGAGCATGGAGGAAAGGACAAAAAGTCCGCAATACTTAAGAGCGAATGTCCCCAAGCATCGAGAATCTGATTTCAGTGACCTCTTGGTMAAATTCTTCATACTTTGCCAGATGACACCTTTAGGTAGACCTTTTCCAAAAAGCATATTAAAAGATTCCAGGGAATTTTTATTTTTGACAAATTCGCCAAAGTAAAAGGTCGTAAAATATTGCCSCAACGACATAATTATCGTGTCTCGTAATCAGTCAGTACAAAGGTCGAGAACAAAGCGATGCAATGTCCTTAAAAACTATCCAATCACGCTGAAATTTTACACAAACATAGTTCATTCAATGCTAAATGAAATTAGAGAAACAGTTATTTTAAAATATTACACAAACCATTTTCTGTGGAGTCATTGATCTTAGTTCAGAATGCTCCCATTTAATACTTTTTTTACTCATAAGTTTTCCTTTTCACAGCATGTTGTAGCTGTTCTGCTAGATCAAATTCTGGCAAGGCAAAATTTTGAAAAATCTCCACTCAAGCTTTTATTTTTTCAATTTACAAAAAAGAATACAAGCGCACGCCTGGAGTTAACTGTCCTTCTGAGGAACAAAACAGAATCACGGCTCACGTTATAAAAAAATATTCACGCCTCACGACTAATTATTTCTCATTTTCACGACTCACGGCTAATTTTTCAGCCGTTTCACGGCTCACGGTTAACCCCATTGAGGCCCTCAAACATAATCCTAGTAAAGAAAACTTATTAAGGCGTCGAACCGTCACAATGGCGTGGTGTGGAACGATGACACAGATGTTTTTTTTTTCAAGACAGTTTGGCAAGAATATGTACGAAAAAAATACCCATATATTAAAAAATTGAATTTTGGATCGCGATTACAAGCTGTCGGTTTGTTATTTCAATTAGGAAATTATGTGTCTAGAAATTACACATTGTTTCAGAGCCTTTGTTGGTCCGGGTACGAGAATGCTCTTGTAGCCGTCACGAGGCTTGTTCCCATGTCACTCTCAGGACCTAGAAACGAGCCTCGTAACTGCTCACTATGCTCACTACGCTCACTACGCCACTACGCTCACTACGCCACTACGCTCACTACGCCACTACGCTCACTTCGCCACTACGCTCACTACGTCACTACGCTCACTACGCCACTACGCTCACTACGCCACTACGCTCACTACGCCACTACGCCACTACGCCACTACTCTCACTACGCCCCTACGCACTACGCCCCTACGCTCACTACGCCACTACGCCCTGCGCCACGACGCTTAGTGCCAATGATACATACATATGACATAATGTACCAAAAATACGCTTACTACGCCATGACGCTTAATGCCTTTTGAGTGTTTTCCCAATATCCTAAGTGGTTTATTTTACCAGGAACGCACATGTGTTGTTAATTGCTTTTATATCATAGCATTTTCGCWTCCATGCATTTTCCGGTGAA